AATAATAAAAATTTAGTTGTAGGATATAGTTGCTTGAATTACTTTTTCTCAATATAAATTGATATTTGATTTTAATCACCAATTTTTTCTTGTTAATTATGTCACATCTTTTATTTTATTTTAAAATACTTTGTTGTTCAAATTTCAAAAAAAAAAAAAATTTAGTTAAGTCAATTGCATAAGATATAGAATATGTATTTTTTAACAACTTTCATCCAATAAAAAAGATTGAAAGATTAAAGTGCAAATATCTGCATTGTGGGACATATTTAGTTTGAAGTGTGATAGAGACCATGTGACTATTGAAATGATTTTGACCAATGAGAAGGTAATTTTTGTAGTCCCAGCTAGCTACCCAAGAAGGGGGTGAATTGGGTCTTATCAAATTTACTTCAAAACTTGTTTCCTTTTCTTTAAAGCTTGAATCAAATTCTAATCTATAAAACTATTATAGATATGATAAACAAACAGTGACTACAATCTTACAAATAAAGTGTAGAAAAATAAACGAAATGGAAGAGAATATCAAGCCATGATTTATAGTGGTTTCTTCGACTTAGAGTACGTCCACTTCCCAAGCTTCCTTATTTGAGAGTTTAATCCATTAGGATTCTCTTGTTTTTGAGTGTAAGATTAAACCCTCACACTCTTGCTTGTGGGTGCAAGATTAAACCCTCACAAGTGAATCTCAACTTGTACAACCCCTTCAAGGATTATCCTAATCCAAGAAGAATACAATACCCTTGTAAGCAAAAATAAGTAACCCAAAGAGCTCGCAAGAAGAAGAAGAAGATTCAGAGCTTTTTCAATACTACAATTTCTATTTTTCTATCTCTATTTTGAGAAGTTCGTTATGGAGGCCATTTCAAATCTAATTTATTTAATGGTTGGTTGGGAGATCTTGCAATTAAACCTTGTTTGCCCTTCAATGTCAATTCACAATTGCTCCAATCAAAATTCCACCCTTTTTCTACTTCCCATAATAGACTTTGGTTTGTCTTGGAAACTGGCTTAGTCATTTGAATCCCTCTAAGGCCTATTAAGACAAAATAGATAATTGAACTGTCAAAGGTTTACCTTTCAGAATTTTTACTTCAAAACTAGAAATATTAGTTCAAACTGTTTTTGGAAAAACTAAAGTTATAAACTACGGGATTGGTTAAAATAAATTGGAATTGGTTCGAATCTAGAACTCTGGACAAGGAGAACATGGTTTGATTTTAATCATGGAGAAAGATTAGGATCCTTGAATTAGCTTTCCTGCACACACTTAGCACAAAATAGATTAAACTTTTTCAATCCTGGTTTTAAGTCGTCATCAAAATACAAAGAGTACCTAACAATTTTATGAGTTATTATATTTTGTCTCTTATGAGAAGGTAAAGTTGATCAAGAAATACATATTTACATCTTTTGCAATTAATTTACACTTAAATATTTTTGAAATTTTAGCAATAAAGTATTTCAAAATAAGATAAAATATATAACATAATTAGGAAAAATACAAATTGATGGTTAAATCAAATACTTGGTCATATTGAGAGAAAGAATCGAAATGCCTATATCCTACAACTAATTTTTGGATAAAAAATCTTTCAAACAAAATAGTTAGATGTTGTTATCAATAATTGAAAAAACCTTAAACTCAACTAAAGTGATTGTGGATTATTAAAACAGAAATGATCAAAAGAATGAACATGAGGAGCATAGGAAAAAGACTGAGTTTGAATATGTTGTATTTGACTCTCTATTTTCTTAACTCTTTAAATTTTGAATATTTAGGCATTGACTTTTCATTTTTTTCACTTAAGAGTTTTTGAATACTTAACTTTTAACATTTCATGTTAAACTAATGTTGCCTCTCTATCTACCACATTCATTTATCAATTATTTTTATCATTTATAATTTTCATTTATTTGCCTCTTCATCTCCTCTTTTATTATCATTTACAATTTTCATATATTTTTATCATATACAAATTTTTTTAATTTCAAACACTTTTTTTTAATTAATTAAATGCATAGGATAACATTTGATATAGGAAAATGATTGGTACACTCACCGGTTCAATATTCGGTTCAACACCCTTCGGTTTAGTCATTAAAAATATAACACAAGTGCAGTCAATTCCGTTGATTCCTGTATCCTTTGTGTATGATTGTATCATTATACTTGTCTGTTTTTAATTTTAGACTAAAAAATAGTGATTTTTTAATGACTAAACCGAAATGCGTTAAACCGGATGTTGAACCAGAATATATACCAGTCACTGTCCTTTGATATAATATATAGATAAGAAACAAATTATAGGATTACAATGTATAGTGATTATTTGTGCAACATTGAAGGCTGTAAATGACCCAAATGTGCTGTAACGCTCTAAATTCCACATTGGTGGAGACTTGTGAGTGGATTTGATATATAAGTACGAAGGCTAACTACTATTAATAACTTAAACTTAAGCTTTTAAGGGCTTATGGACCTTGGCTCAAAGAGTTGTTATGCTAGTGATGGGTTTTGACCTACATTATTTCAATTGGTATTAGAGTAGTCATCTTTTGTAGGTGTGAGCCCATGCTAACTATTATAATCGGTGGTAATGTGGACTCTGCATCACTTGAGGTGGATCTTGAGCATTTAAGTGGGGGTGATTGTAAGTGAGGGCTTGCAAACCTTGAGTCAAAGAGTTGTTAGGCTAGTGTTGGGTTTTGGCATGGGTCGTTTCATTTACCTTTACCGTTTTCCAAATTTATGAGACTTTTCTTTTCACCTTTCTTTTACATCAAAAATCATATGTTAATGTTTTAAAGGAAGATAAATGTAAGAGGGAATGGAAAACAAAAAGTTGTGAATATATAAAAATTCATTTATGATTTATTGTAGTTGATAATGGAAGATCAAGAGGCACATAATTAATGATATAACATATAAATGATAAATATTGTATTATTTCAACATTAATTCAAGAATAATGATAAAGAAGAAAAATTAAAACAATTTACTAATAATTTGAATATGGTTTATCTCTATAATGTGCATGAGTATGCAAGAGATTGAAATGAACTTATGAATTAAAGATGAAAGTACCATTATTATTTAATATTACTATTATTGCCAAACTCAAAGATAAAAGTGCAAGTGAAAATGAAAAGCAAAAATTGTGAATGTATCAAAATTCCTTAATGAATATGTAATTTCAATTATAACTATTATATCATTTTTTGTAGTTAAATATCAAAAGGTAATATGATATAAATAACAATTATTGTTTTATTACAACATTAACCATCAATAACATAAAACACTTAGATTTCCCATCTCATTAAAATAATAAGGATTTTTATAGGTAAAAAAGTTACATTCCCTAGGATGAATCACTAAACATTTGAGAAAAAAACAATGATAAAATGAAAATAAAAAAATTTAATGTTATAAAATCAAAATAGTCTCAAACTTTAATCATTTGAAAGAGTTTTAAAAGTGTACTTTACAATAAATGGGAGCTCATTTTTTTAAACTAGACTACACAAGAAGTACAAGTTGGACTGTTAAAATTCACAATGACCTTAAGGCAGAAAACATATTTTGGTGCAAAATGGATTTAAAAACATATTTTTTAATATATAGTGCAAAAAACTTTCATACTTTTGTCTTCTAATGTCATTAACAAACACAATTGGCATTTCTTTAAATAACTTTATCATAAAAATAATTATAAAAAAATCATATAATATAAATATAAAATAAAAAAATATGCAATGCACCGACTAAAATAATTGGACAAGAAATTCATAAAAGTGTTATTTAATTTTATTTTTTGCTTTATCATAATTCTAAAGTAATTGAAATATAAGAGTTGAATGAGTTCTTGTTCTTATTTAACTTTAGTTTTTTAATTAAGAGAAAAGGAAATATCATATGAATCTTTAATTGAGATAATAGTAAAAAAAAAGGACAGTAGTTTAATGTTGAATGTTTCTTGAATTTTTCTAATATTATTTCCTTTTATTGTAATTTTATATAATTAAAAAAATATATTTTTACCAATTACTAAACGTAATCTCAAACCAAACCTTAATCACTTAATTAAAATTTTTGAATTAAAATATCATTATAAAATTCCAAAATTAATAAAAATAATATAAAATGTAAACTCTAATATGAAAAATTTAAGAATAACCATGTAAGGCACCAAAAAAAAAAAAAAATTATTAATATAAATTTTTCCTTTCTAGTGAATTGAACTGTGTATGAGAATTGAATCATGCGTGCACTACCGGCCCAACTAAGGTTACAAATCCATTACCTATTTTCAAAAAAAAATAAAAAAAAACTAAGGTTACAAATGTTAGTGGCCCCCCGCGGTTTTAACCCAACTGATATTAGCAAAGAAATCGACAATCTGCAACTCATACATGCTGAAACCCTAAAGATCCATGAAGCCCGAAAGATTAAATCCAGAACAAAGTCCTGTTTTGTAGATCAAATTCAAATTTTAAGCTTTGGACCAACAATTAAAAAAATTAATTTCCTTAAATGTATTGAGCTGATGTGAGCATGGAGAAAGAATTAGTTTCTAAGTACCAAGAAATTAATATGTACACTCATTAACGGTGAAAAAAAATAATTCAAACATACTCTGGAAATGTATCTATGGTGGATGTCGTGATGATTGGGAATTTAAGTTGCCATGCTTAGATTTTAGATTTTAATCCTCATATGGATGAAGTGTCATTTAAAAATTCGAGAATTATTTTTTATTATATAATCGTAGGAATGATTTGGTAAGTATGTACAAGCACAGAGTACATAGATTAATAAGTGTTTAAGCACTGCCCAACGTTTAAAAAAAAAAAAACTGAAAAAGTGGAGATTCACATTTATAAATCAACATTAATTAATTTCTTTGCAAGGCATTGAAAACTAGATTTAAAAAGATGAAACATTTCTCTAATCTTTGATCTCAAAAGATGAAAAACGTCTAAACATTCATTTGTAAGCTTAAATTTTGAATCTATTTTTCTCCTTTGCCACCAAAAATCTTTCCTTCACATGATGGAGCAGGGGTCACGATACTGGCTCCCGGTAGTGCCTCACAGAAACAATAATGTGTTGTTGTATACGACCCAACCACAGGCAGTACCGTCGTTTTTTCTTTCTTCTACTTATCTTTCTTTTCTTCTTTCTTTTCTCCTCCCTCAACCGTCACGCTCACTAGCTCTGCAAATCCCAATTTCTTTCTCAGCAACATCGTTAGCTGAGCTGCGTCAACTCCATCTGCCCTCACCTTAGTCTGAGTCTTGTCGACGCCTTTCAAAAGCTACCGACTCCACACCTATATATCGAATTCGTTAGGAACTGGTTTAGACTAACAAGAAAAAATAAAGTTACGAAGGAGTTAATTAGATTTTGTACTTACCAGGGAGCCCTACTGCAATCTTCAGGGCCTTTGATCTGGATTTCTGCCTGTTCATCGAAACCTTAATTTCCATCTTTTGCTGCATAAATAGAAATAAAGAATTCGAGTACTTGATTGATTCAATGTTAAATCTAGTATGGATATTGATTATATATAGCACTTACCTTCTTGGTGGTGTTGTTTTGTTGAAACTTGAGATATAGACAGAGGACAGACAGAGGCTCCTCTGTTTTTCAGTTTTAAGAAAGCAGGGAAAGCTGCTGCTGCTTCGGACTTGGGAAGAACCTCTGAATTGTGTAGGAAGTGTTGATATGGGTAAGCCAGCTAAGGCTGTCTCTGTTTATATAGAGGTGGAGTATGGGGTGAGTAAACTGGAAACTGGAAAGTTAGATTAGCTGTTGGAACGTTCCTTGGTTTGTTTGGGGAAAAGGTTAAAAAGATTAATTGGTTGTCCTCGTCGCGCGGTCCAAACCCTAAAGGTTATGTTGACATCGTCAACTCTTAACTTAAATCTCTAAAAGAAAAAGAAAAAATCAAAAGAAGAAAAAGGACAAAAAGAAAAAGCAAAAGACCCAAGGCAACTTCTTTTGATTGGATCACTAAAAATGTATAAGAAAATCTTATGTTTTATTTTGAAGTTTATCTAATAATGATAATATTCCTTCCAAAGATACTGGAAAGTTATCTCTCTTAAACCAAAGCCTTTCATTGGTTTTCTCTTTTATCCTATCTCTAAGTTGATTACAAAATTTACATAATTAAATGATAAGGAATACTAATGTACAAAATTTAAACATTTTTGTTGTAGAGAGTTTTTCTTGTGAGAGAACACTCTCCTTATTATACTAGATTCAAAAAATTATAATTTATTTAAATTTTAAATTTCATTAAAATCAAATTAATATAAGAATTAAATTGAGTTTAAATGTTCAAGATTATCCACTTTTTTTAATAAATAGTAAATAATAAGAATGAAATATAATTAATTTAGAATTAAAATGGGTTTAATAGAGTTTGCAGCTCAACCCTAGCTGTTAGACTCAATTTGCTCTTCTCATCCACTCAGCAACCACCTCTCCCAACACTTTAACTCACCTTCTCTTCCATCATTAGAGTTCTCTTCAAAATGATAAGATTTCCTTCAATTTTTCATATGTTTCCACTCTAAACGTACTTTAATCCGTTCTTGCATCTAAATCATTTGTACAAATTAGAGTTGATTCTACTGAGTTTAAATTTTGACAAAAATTTTCTTTATTAAATCTTTTTGATTCTTGATTAGTGTAGCTTGATTTTATAAGTTAAATTAAGATTTAAGGGCATCAAGATTTTGACTTTAATTATTAATTGAAAGCTCAAATCCTTTCGAAGCTGCTATCCATGTAAAAGATGGGGAAGGAGACTCAGTTTTGGCTTTTGTTTACTAGTGAGTCCCGCGGTTCTAAAACTCTGTTCTTGTTCAAATATTCTTTTAGATTGCACGTGAACTATATGGAGCAAGGTGATCAATATTAACAGTTACAAATAAAAGTAATATCTTACAAGCTAAAATTTTACAAAAAATCTTTACATTAAGGAAACTAATGGTTGCTACTACACACATTGGTTAAGAAAAATAATCATATATTGAACAAAACAACATATTTAATAACTTTAAGAAAAAGAATCATAGAAGGTGTTCCTTTGCTGTTGAGAAGAACTTGTCATAATCATTTACCACCACCACAAGTTAATGGTGGCACTTCCACGTACAGTGTCTTCTTGATGCCCAGATTTGCTGGGATTGGAGAAAACCCAATCATACTCTATGATCGAGGAGCTCGCCAAACAACGGATGATTAAAGTAAAACAACTGATGAAATTTTTTGTCCATTTTATCACCCACTAGAGTCTAGAGCAAAATAGACATTTGTCCACTTATGATTTATAAATGGGACCTACAAATGTATAGGAATCATTATGCAAGGCCGAAATTAATAATTTAAAGTCTATTATATTAATTATTTTTAAAAGTCAAATGATAATAGTACATATTAAGAACTTTTTATAAAAAAAGTATACTTAACCAAATAAAATTTAATTTAAATTAAAACACGATTTAATCATAATAAATAAAAAAAATAAGTTTTAAATCTTATCACAATCTTAAAACCAGTAAAAATCATATTCTGAAATTATATTTTAAATCTAGAAGTGTTATTATAATTTCACTTGGTGCAAACAATCAAGTTAAAATTTAGGTCGAATAATTTTAAGGTAAAATTCAAAGTTATAAAATTTCAAATTTACACATCAATTTAATTTAATTAATATTTTTATTTTATAATATTTTATTTAATAATTCAATAGCTGTTGTTGCCTGTTCTGTGACTAGAATTTGAAAGTGTTGACTCTGCTGTGTCAACCCCTGATTCGCAACACTCACAGACAGGTGCTGCCACGAAGCACCCATGTGGCAGCGTCACAGGCAAATGGGTGCTGTATCACCCACGCCCCATTTTTTTCGTGGCCCATCAGGCGTTAACACCTGATCTGTTACAGGAATCCGGGTGTTGACACCTTATGCCATATAGTTCATGTGCAATCTATAAGAATATTAGAACAAGAATAGAGGTTGAGATCCGTGAGACTCACCAATAAACAAAAGCCAAAACCGAGCATCATTCTCCCTCTTTTACATGGACAGCAACTTCGAAAGGATTTGGGCATTCAATTAACAATTAGATTCAAAATCTTGATGCCTTTAAATCTGAATTTAACTTACAAAATCAAGCTACACTAACCAACAATCAAAAAGGTAAATTCGATAAAAAAAAAATGAAAATCTTACTTTGTCAAGATTTAAACGTGTTAGAACCAACTCTAATTTGTACAAATTGATTTAGATGCAAGAATGGGTTAACGTACGTTTACAGTGAAAGCATAAGAAAAATTGAAGGAAATCATATCATTTTTTAAGAGAATTCTAATTATGGAAGAGAAGGAGAGTTAAGGTGTTGGGGGAGGCGGTTGCTGCATGGATGAGAAAAGCAAAAGGAGTCTAATAGCTAGGGTTGAGCTGCAGACTCTATTAAACCCATTTTAATTCTAAATTAATTATATTTCATTGTTATTATTTATTTCTATTAAAAAAGTAGATAGTCTTAAACATTTAAACTCAATTTAATCCTCATATTAATTTGATTTTAACGAAATTTAAAATTTAAATAAATTATAATTTTTAAATCTAGTACAATATGGAGAGTGTCTCTCTTGAAGGAAAAACTCTCTACTACGACAAAAGTTTTTAAATTTTGTAAAATTTAAAACATTAGATCCCTTATCATTTAATTATGTAGATTTTGAAATGAACTTAGTGACATGATAAAAGAGAAAACCAATCAAACACTTTGGTTTGAGGGAGATCACTTCCCGATCTCTTTGGAAGGAATATTATTATTATTAGATAAACTTCAAACTAAAACATACACTACAAGGAAAATGCCCTTTACTAACGACAATCTATACTAACAAGCAGGAATCCGTCTGTATAAACCATGTAAATCAACAAAAATCTTAATTAGTCAGTGTACACCAGTTTATAGTTGTCAATGTAGGCTAGGTTTATGCAAATGGCTTACTAGTTATTCATCTATGTAGAGTATATCCATTCTAATGGTAATTATCATTTGTTTGTATAACAATATCTATACAAACAGATTAACATGTTCTGTCTATATAATTCATTTAAATCTCTATTTCTTAAACATCACTTTTTTCCTTTTAACTTCAATAGTCAGTATACATTTTTCACTTCCCTCCCTAAATTTCGATTTTCCTTCCCTAGGTAGACCTAAATATTTCCCTCTCCCAAATCTCCAAATTTTGGAATTGATTTTGTTAAAACTCAAAAACCCATTCAAACCTAACTTTAAAATTCATTTCTTCAACTCTAATCCATCAACGACAAGAGGTCAATAGGTGAGTTTGTGTTGATTTGGGCTGATTTCTTCCTAATTCTCTTGGTTTCTTCTATATTCATGGGCTAATTTTGTTCAAGAGATAATAAGCATTTGGGTTGATTTCATCTTCCTTGCCGCCTTCCAATATCCCCGAATTACACACTTTGAACTAAGTTTCTCATCCACTCTTTCTCTATATCAAAATTGAGTACAACTTTAGGGTTTTTTTAAGTCATTAGGATTTTTGAGTTTCTCCTACTTTTGGATTTGTAAATGTATCTCAATTTTTATGCCAAGCTCTAGAATCACCAGTAATTTTGATTTGATTTGACGTATAAGAGGTTTTCAGTGGTGGAGAAGTGGTGGTGTGTTGCTTGGCTAAGTGAAAATAATGCTTTCGTTGCGGATCTTTTAAGGACATTGTTCTATCTTTTCTCCTTACTGATTGAGAGTTAGCCTTCACATTTATTAAGAGAAGAAGAAGGTTAGTTAATATCTAATACTCTCTTGATTCTATTTGGGCATTTAGATAATATTGGTGTAATTTTGTTGATTTGTTCTTAATTTAGATTTGGTGTATGCAAAGTGTGGTTGTCATTTTTTTCTTTTCTTTTCTTTACTTTTCTTTGTTAAAGCAAGTTTTTTTCATTAATAAGCAAGATTCTCTTCAAATGTGGTAATTGCTTCTTTTTCTTTCTTTCTTTCTTTTTAATTACAGTTTCTTTCTTTAATGCTATTGATCTGGTGTCCTCTCTTGGTTGTTTTTTTAATAAAATTCTTGTTGATGCTCATGTTTGTAGGACTAATTGACTAATTTTTCTTCATAAAGTCTCTCACTGTGTTCTTTTAGATTTCCTTATGGACCTAAAAAGGCTTTAGTTCCTAGGAGGATTGAATTCTTAGGACTTGTATGATTGGTCAAGAATGATTCAATTGGATGCCATTGTGATATAAAATTATAAAGTCATGTTCTTGTCTTGGAAATCTTTAAGGAATCATGCCTCTCATTTTTAACTGTTTTATTTGACAATTTATTAGTGATTTCTAAAAGTAATAACTTGAGGTTAATATATGAACCATAAAGGGAAAAAATTATAAGGAACTAAACCTTCCACCATGTGCTTATGTTTATTTTAGTGACTTGTTCATCAAAATGACCTGTTATTGAATGTTAAGGCTCATACTATTTGTTTTATGGAGGTAAAATTTCCTAGAAAATGAAGAAAGTTATTAAAAAAACCTATCCCAATGTTTACTTCAAATTTTTTTTTTTTGTTTTGTTTGTTTTCATTGGTTTTAATTTGTTGGTTACAGTTTTATCATTCTATCACTATGGATAAAACATGGATAAACTTGAAAGAAACCTCAAGTCC